AGGCTTTTTAATCACTTTGAATGTAAGATAAAACGATACCAGAATAACAGTTGCCAAGCCACATGCCCAGATTCCGGGCAGCAGAAGGGCCTCCCGTGACACATGCTGAGATGGGCTCAGCGTCTTACTTGCCTGGAACAAAGCAACGCCTGCTGTCACTTTAAAAAAAAAACACACACTTGTTATTTTGAAGTAATGATAGACCCACAGGAGGCTGAGGACAGACGGCCCAGCGATGTCCGCTGCATATCTCACCCAAGTCCCTCAGTATCACTTGGGGAAATTGTGATCCCACATAACACCCTGGATGTGATGTCCCTATAGTATATCTGTCCTTTCTATATAACCAACACCAGTGAGACCTAGAGTTGCCCCCTAGCTACCAGGCTTTCCTCCCCCACCCTGCCACTCCTAGATACCCTTCGCAGGCACATCCTGCCCCTCAGGTACTTGTGTGTCCCCCAACTCTGTATACTAAGTATTATGAGACAAAGAAGGCAGGTCTGGACTGAATTCAAGCTCTGAGGACAGCTTTCCCCCCTCAGTACCCCCTCCAAGATCTCTTCTTGCTCTGTATCAATGGTCACTGTTCCATAGCTGAGTAGTGGCTATGATGTGCTGAGCCACAATCCTTTACCCATCACCTACACAGGACATTGTTTCTAGTTTCTGGCCGTTAACGACATAACTGCCATGAATAAGCTGAACAAGTTTCCATTTCTCTGAATAAAACCTCAGAACTGCAGCTGCTGAATAGCTCAAATGCACACACTTCTGCAGTGGCTGTACCATTTACATTCTCACCAACATTGTATGAGTGGCCACACTTCCAGCCTTGTCAGTTTCTTGGACTGACCTCTAGCTCACAATCCTCCTGCTTCCATCCTGAGTGCTGGGATCCTATGTGTGTGCTGCCAGACATGGCTCCATCTTTGTTTCTATCTCAGCCACTCTGACTGGGGCAAGCGGAGCTTCCCCATGGTCCCACTTGCATTCCCTGGTGGTGGACACTGAGGACCTTCGCATGCCCCATTTCTCCTCTGGAAGCCTTTTGGGTGGGATGACTCTTCATGGTTCTAGTTTCCGTGTGGGTTGCTTGTTTTTCACTATTGAGCTTTGAGAGTCCCTCTGCGTGTTCACCGGTCCATGGTTTGCTGATGTTTTCACTCTGCCTGTAGCTTGTGTTTTCATCCTCTTAATAGTCTTTAATTTAAACTAATTTCTTCAACTAACTTTAGTTATTTCCACTGCAGCTAGTGAGGCTTCAGGAATTTCCAGGCTATAAGTAAGGTGTTTTCCTGGCTGGTCATCCTTCCAACATGGTTTCCCTGGTAACCTGGTTCCTATGAGCTCAATTGGTTTAAGGCAGCTGATAGTGTGTCAAATTCAAATGTAATTGTTTTCTCCAGGAGACTTGATCTGTATGCTAGACAGAATGTATGCTGCCATTGTTCAGCATCAAAAGTTCCTCCTGCGGAGGCACACCTGCCTTCACTCCCTAGAGACCATGATACTGAGAAGCAGGAGCAGGCTGGGTGTTTGTAGAGAACAGAGGTGACTCTGTGCCATATTCAGATCCATACAAATGCCACAAGGTGGGATGGAAGCTACTTTGTGCTGCCCTCCAGCAGTCCCATGGGGCCTCACCTTCATGAGTCTCTTTCCCATCCTGTTAGACTGTTTTAACATTAGTTCAGTCAAAAGCTAATGGCCACATGACTTTTCAAAGGTGTGCAGGTGGCATATCTATCCTTAAGACCTTGTCAGGGCTGAGGAGACCCAAATGGGCCAGTCACTCTACCTCTAAGTCTACAGTGAAAATAAGGTGGGCTTAGTTCACCTATGAATGTATCTCGCCGTGACACCCTAACTCCACAACTAGCTCAGCTATCCTCAGCACAAGTGTATGCACCAGGGACAGTACACAACAGTGCCTTCCTGTGATCCTGCATATACACTGTCCCTCTGTTCGTGACTATGACTGCTCCATTGACAGGTGTCAGGAGGGGTCAGGAGAGCAATGTGTCATACCACAGTGAGGGAGGCCATTTTCTTCTGTAAATGATTTAATTTTTCATTACATTTAAAATTTTATTTCTCTGTGTGGGCTTATGTATGCCACAGTGTATGTGTGGAAGTCATAGGACAGCTTATACAAGCTCTTGGGTCCTGGAGCTAAAACCCCAGATGGCAAGCACCCTTACCTGCTGAACCATCTTGTCAGACCTATTTTTAACATCTTTGAAACAGAAGCTCAGAATCTGCACGCAGCACTGGTGGGGATGTAAAATAGTGCAGCTGCTTTGGAAAAGCTCATGGATCTTCAAAAGGTTAAAAATGGGAACACCATGTGATATCACAATTCCACAATGCTCATAGCAAAGTTGCTTAGAAAAGCCAAGGGATGGGAACAGCCCAAATGCCCATCTCCTGATGTGTGGACAGATAAGATGTAGGTTCATGTAAAGAGGAATGTTGTTCATTCATAAAAAAGGCCATGTGTATTGCCATGTGACCTGAGCCTCCAGGACATGATATGAAAGAAATGAGACACGGAAGGCCATATATCAAGGCTGGGAGATAGCTTAGTGGGTAAAAGTACTTGCTCTGTAAGTGTGAAGACCTGAGTTCGAGTTCCCAACATGCGTATATAAAGCCAGGCATTGTTGTACCTGCCTGGAGCACCAGCACCACGGATCAGAGACAGGCAGATGTTGAGAGTTGACTGGCCAGCCAGCTTAGTTGAAATGGTGAGCTTCTCACTTGAGAAAGACCCTGTCTCAAGGCAGTAAGGCGTGACAGAGGAAGGCACCTGACATCCTGTTTTGGCCTCCACATGCACATCCACACACTCACATGCATGCCCAACACACATATACAATACACCATAGTCACACACACAAAGCAGGCCATATAACGTGTGAGTCCACAGACATGGAGGACCCAGAGCACACAAATCTGTACACACAGAAACAGATGATGGAGCACCCCCTGATTCTCCTCAGCCTCTGAGGGTTCAGTAAGAATATGCTACCACAAGGTACAGGATTCTACGGATCTAGAGTTTGCCAGTCTGCTAGTTCCCCACCAGGACTTCCCAGGCCCCAGGATCATAAGGAATGAATTCCTGTTCTTTGCAGCTCAGTGGCCTGTGCTACAGCAGCCAGAATAGAAAGGAGCCCCTCAGTCTACGAGAAAGGCCAAGATGGGGCACTATCCACCATGGTCCTGCAAATTTTCACTGATTTGACTGACTCCTTCTCCAGCCCAACTCATTGAGGCCTTAGCCACATCCCATGAGCTCATACCCACACTTTAGTCAGGCCTTGGGGAGAAGAGCCTCTTGGCCTCCATGTCTTATTGCCTCCTGCCCAGGGGTTGGCCAGTGGGTTCCAAAGCCCACAGCATCCTATGATGCCCAAGTCTTAGAGGAAACTATTAACCGGGGAATTCATGGCTGGACATTGCATAATCAATTCATAGGAACCAAATTAGCCCTGAGTCCCAAATCCTCAAGTTACAGACCAATTGGGCTAAGCCAGAGTCACAGATCTTGAACTCAGAAAATGGCTTTTCCAAATTGTTTATCTGGCAGCTTTTAAGTTCATTATTAACTTAAAGTGTACCTTCCTGGTTCGTTTTTAAAGAAAGCCTTGACCAAGCTTTGTGTTGGCCAAGCAGGTCCTCTGTACTCCAGCGAACACTTTCAGCATTAGATTTGGACAAGGAAGGGCTGTAGACAGTTCTCACACCCTCCTGGCCCTTGCCCTGCTGACCTCCTAGTGGCTTCTCAGGAGAATCACCCTCCGTTGGGGGAGGAGGTTAGGAATTCTGATAGTTTTCTTACAAAGGCAGGCTGCATCTGCCTTGTCCTCAGGGTTGAACAAAAGGTTCGAATGGCCAGAGTGGCTGAGATGTCCAGAGCCTCTGCTGTGAGCCCTGAGCACAAGTCTTTCCTCACTGGGCAGAGCGTGGTGTGGGGTCCTCTGCAGTGTTGCCAAGTGGCACGAGATGGCACGTGCCAGAAACAAAGGGCCTGGGGAGTGGGTGTCAGCAACAGTGCTGGAAGAGCCTCCCACTTGGCAGAGAAGCAAAGCAAATGTGCTGGGGAGCATGTGGGGCATTTTGTCACCCAGCCTTGCCCCGCCCTCATCCTTGTCCTTGGTCTGTGTGCCGCCATGCAGCATGGCATTCACAAGGAACTGCTGCATCGTGCTATATTCAAGGACACACCCACCTACCCAGGCCACACAATGCAGCAGAAACACACCGTGAGGCTTGAACTACAGAGGAAGGGGCCAAAGGACCACCCTACCATACAACTGCCAATACCCCAGCCTGTGGGATCTCCGGGGTTCCACCTCCAGGCTGGATCCATAGGGAGGGCCCAGGAGCCCAGGCTTTATTCAGTCTTTCACAGCAGCATTTATTTGGGTGTTTTTAGAAAAATTTTAAATGAGGATATGGACCTACTGTGTTGTAGCACAAGCACTCCTAGCTGTCTGGGCAGTGGCATGTCCATAGCTAAGTCCAGTTTGGCTCAGGCAAGGCTGGAAGCCGTATGTGTTAGCCAGCATGATTGTACACACAGCAGAGATCCTGCCTCTAGGGTCTGCTAGGGCCAAGCCTCACCTCAGGCCTGCCCAGTTAGACTCTCGCTCCTGAACATGTACCATTCTGGAAATGTGACCCTCACCCATGTCCTTGGAGTAGAAATCAGTAGGATTCTATGCAGTTACATGCAGGTGTCTAAATGCACACATGTGAGCATGTGTGCGGGTGTCTGAGTCCACACACGTGAAGATGTGAAGGTGCCTGAATGCATGCATGTGAGCACGAGTACATGTGTCTAAATGCATATATAATCATGAGTATGCATGCAGATGCCACTATTGGTGTGTTCATGTGTGTGTGTGTGTGTGTGTGTGTGTGTGTGTGTGTGTGTGTGTATACAATCCCCAGCAGACCCTTTACGTTCTCTCTGCCTCTCTTTTTTCCAGACTCAGCTGGAAGAGGCACTACTGGCAAGGATCAAAATGTCCCATGCAGTCCCAGAAAGTGAAGTCTGTGTGGCTAATAGACAAGTGGGTTTCCAGGCCCCTTGGAGGAAGAGCAGACAAGCCTAAAATTTTATGCCTGAGAGCTCCGCTGACATGTACTGGAAGGCAAAGGCATTTATCACCCAGTGTCACATGGCAGGGTCATAAACAGTTAATCTTCAGCAAAGCGCAGAAGGAAGCATTGTTGGAGACCCCTTCCAACAGAAAGAACACATTAGGCTTAACTACCAGGTGCATCTTTAAATGCCGGTTACTACTCACATTGCCGCACAGACCCGTCTGTGAAGCTAGTGGGTGGAGATGCTGGGTGGTATCACCGGCTTCAGAATTGCATCCCCCAGAGTGCCTCTCTGGAGACTAGAAGAGGGGAGGGATCCTTGGGGTTGGCCATTCTTGCCCCAGCTTTTTATGTGGTCTGCATGGGAGCAGCCACAGGCTAGGCTTCCCTTTTTGCTTGGATTTCTAACCAGACCCTCTTCCTGCAATGCTAAACTGACTGTTTGTTTCTGCAGGGGTTGCACCCAAACAGCTATGGTCTGGGCCCCTCATCACCTGAGACTTGAGTCTGAGAATGGCATGCGGTGCCTCAGCCATCTCAGAACAAACACATATCTGGGAGCTATGGCACTTTTGACTTTCCTAGTGGCCTCTACCTCTTGTCATGATCTCTGCATAGCTCCAGGCATACCTTGTCCCAGTTGTGAGCTCCTAATTATGGCTATTCCTGCAAATACTGTTGCATGATATGTATTTTGCATGTTTTGTAAGAAACAACCTCTGAGTTTATTTTTTCAAAATAAAGATGGAGACAGTAAAGATGCGGAGGGACCTTGAAACTACAGTCTGCACCCCCTACTTGCTGGTCACAGGTCTGTCACATCTGAGCTGCTGTGACCTGCAGCATGCTCCTCTCTGGCCATTCAGGCGGGAGGTCCTGAGTCCTTGTCTCCTGCTGGTGGGCTTCTATGTATCCTGGGACAATGGGGGTGATGACTAGCTTGTTTTGGAGGAGGGGTCCTCAATTTGCATTTCAATGGGTTTTTATTAATCCACCTGCACGCGCACGAGTGCGCGCACACACAAACACACACACGAACATACACACTCCATTTCTGTGCTGTGCAAGGCATAATTTCAGCAGCTTCAGAAATAAAAGGGGACAAATGGTATTGTTCTTCCCAATCTACAGATGTTTACTCTGCCCCCCTCTATTTCCACTTCTGTCTAGTCAGTGACGACATAAACACGACGTGTCTCCTTGGTGTCTCCAAAGGGCTTTGTTTCCCGGGACAGCAGCCTATTATGATGTCACACTGCGGGACAGTAATGACGCCCCTGTGAGACAATGCGGAGACCTATTGTGAGGCAGGCAAAGGAGGAGGCTGTGAAGAAGGAGGGGAAGCGGGGTCTCATAAGGAGAGAAAGGATGGGGGTGGGCAACATAGCCCACTGACCACAGGCTTGGTGGCAGAGGCTTACTGAGGGAGGAGGTGGGCTGAAAGACAGGACTGCAGCAGCCTTTGGCTCCTCCTCTTGGGATAGGGTGTCAGGTGAGGATCCATGCTGCACAGCTGCTGCTGGCACCCCAGGAATCCACCCAGCAGGTGGGTTGGAGACAGGGCTGGGTTTGGACCCACAGCAGTCATATGGGCAGGCAAGTGGCAGTCTTTTGTGGAGACTCTCAGGAGACTCCCGGGATGATTGTTATAAGAGATCTTATTTTCTTTGTGGGTGCAGAAACAATATGATAAAATAAAACTTCCACTGAAGACCAAAGCCTTACAAGAGGAGGATGGCCACATGCTGTTTGGTACAGAGTAGGGTATGGATCTGCTCCCACCACAAGCCAGTGAGAACAGAGGCACCAACTCAGCAGGAAGGACAAGGAGAATCAGACAAGTGGGAACTCACAGATACCCAGAATAGCCTGTAGTACCAGTACAGGAATCCCAGGGTTTCTACATTTGAGAGAATCTACAGAAAGCAATGAAGAGGGACAAATGTCAGGAAAACCATTCACAGTGTCATTCAAATATAAAGCATAGCGTTAATACAACAATTAATTGAGTATCTGTGGGAAATACCAGCAAATCACCAACCAGCAAAAACAGCTGGACATACAGAGAGAGAGATGATTCTGTGACCAGACTCAACTCTAGGTGGAAATAATACCAAGCACCCAATGGGTTGAAGATACAATTGGGGAAGAGGGAGAAAAATAGAGAGATAGAGAGACAGATATTTTGAAAAAATTATCTTTAAATAATTAGACTGTGGAGAGTGGCTGGGCATCCTGGAGGACCAGATGGACACCCACACTAGTGGGTGAGCCAGAGACGCTCTGAAGCCATAGTGAACAAATCTATTAACAGACAGACATGCTTGCCTGTGCTTGCTTCAGATCGGTTGTCCCCATTTCCACGTTTGGATCAGCTTTCCAATGTGGCTTCTCTGGTTGTCCAACCTTATTGGATGTATGTGGGGCCAAGCAGCTGTGAGACCTCTCAACAGCTGTCATCCTGAGCTAGCAGAGGGGATATAGTTGCTTCTGCCAGAACAAAACTATTCTTCATCCAGGCTCCCCACTCCCCGGCCCTGATGGTGAGTGCTCAGGAGGACTGTTTTGGCTGATGGATGATTTACAGGTGTCTAGCTGGCAGAAGCTTCCACCCTGTGCATTTCTGTTGGCTAATTTAACTCACAGCACAGCTGATCATGGGAGGAAATAGCTGCACTGTAAGTCTGAGCCAGGTTTTTATTTGCTTTGAAATTGGCCTGCTTCATGTTGCCTCCATTAACACATACTACCAGGCCCTCACTCCAGGCATCTAAATGAGGCCTCTCATCTGATGCTCCCACACACACACATTTGAGTGACACATGGCACACAGACATGACACATGACACCACACATGTGGAAACAATGTACCCCCTGCAATGCCCATGAGCTCAGAGCACACTGTATACATGTGCACACATGATCCATGTTGCACAGTGTATGCAGATGCTGTCTTCACATCTGGTTCACTCACTGCTAAGGAGATTGTGGTAAAACATTCAAGCAGGCATGCTGTGCCAACCTCTTCAATCCCGGCCGCCATTCCCAGAATAGTGGCTGAGGATCAACTGCTTCCTATGCAGTAGCAAGCTCAACGGTGAGCTGTTAATTGCTCCCAGCAGACATACTTCCCAGGACAAACTACTTTATAAAAATGGTTACTTGGGGGTGTGGATGATCCAGTGTGACTAGTTAGGAGTGAGAGTTTCACTGCAGTAGTTTTGGGGATATGGTCCTTCCTTATGTGCTGTGGGAGACCAGTTCCACCTTTTCCCCAGGGTACTCTTGAGGAGAGAGGGATAAGAGATTTAGACAGAAGGATAGAAGGATAGATGCACTGGCCCTCACTGTCTCGTCTAAAGGGCTATTTATAGAAATGCCAAGGGGTGGAGCAAAGACCTCCCCTTAGCACAGCCAAGTGCAGACCCTTCCAATCACCTAGTAACCATGTCCATGGTCAAGCAATCCTCTAATGCAGCCCTGCTGAGTAAAGCAAGCTCAGATCTCACTAAGAACCTTTGTGGGCCTCCACACATTTGGAGCAGGTGAACTTTTTGGGGTCATGGTCTCATTATCTGTGACAGATTTGGGGAAGCATGGGATATTATCTCAGTCATGTGTGAAAGGGATGTGGTCACAGTCCTCACAGCAGTAGACAGAGGTCCAAACTCCCTTCTCTGCTCCATTATATAATAAACTCACAATCATTCCTGTATCCCTTAATTCAGGGTCACCAACACTGCCACTATGACCTTCGTCAGTCTCCAAATGCATTCTGTAGGGATGACAAATACATCCCAACTGCCTTTTCCTTGAACAATGGGACTCCTGCTGCAGTGTACACCAAGGCCCCGGAAACTGCATAGAACCAAGAAGTGAGCTTTCTGTGGGGCCTTGTGCACACAGATGTGTCCACACATACATGGCTGGTATATGAATATGTTGGCATAGAATATACTGAGCAGACATACATGTATGTACACAGTGGGTACACATGTGCATGTTATGTGAGTGTATACATATGTATATATCTGTGCCCATATGTATAGTGCATGTGCACATGTGCATATATGCTCCATATATGCATGCATTCACATAACATTCACTATCTATGGTTGTATGAACATAAGACAAGTGTTTTCTGCTGCTTGAGGACTTCCTAAAGGGAACAAAGGCTGTCATACTCTGTGGTGCAGTAAACATAACCATTAAATCATAGAAACATGGAGGCTGCTGGTGTCTGTGAGCCGAGCGAGGGAGTAACAGGCTAGATCTTGCCTGAGCCCCAAGCAGCAGGGCACTTGTAGTCACTAAGACATCTTTGGTACTAGTTCCTTTTCCATTGCTATGACAAAACACCAGGACCAAAGCAATTTGTAAAAGAAAGAGTTTAATTTGGCTTGAAAGTAGGAGCAAAAACTCACACTGGGAATGGTGTGAGTCTTCTGAAACCTCAAAACCTTAATGGCACACCTCATCCAACAAGTCCACACTTCCTAATCCTTCCCAAACAGTTTCACCAATGGGGGACCAAGTTCTCAAACATATGAGCCTATGGGGGCCATTCTCATAGAAGCCACCACACACCTCAAATGCCATCTGTGAAGAAGCAGGGAACACACTGCTGTCCTCTGTGGGCCATCGTGAAGATGTGATAGACTCCATAGAAGGGCGAGGCTCACAGAGCATACTGTGTGACCATCCTGATACTCCCTTGCAGAGTCCAGATGTTTCACACCTGGACATCGATATGCAGGCTTGGCATCGGTGTTTAGAAACATGGGCTCCAGGTCACGTCAGCGCAGGCAACAGTCAGTAGAAATCACTGGCCGCTTGCTAGGGGGCCCTGGGCCACTCTAAGATCTGTCCTTGCTCAGCAGAGAACTGTGAGTGTGTGACTGACTCACAGGCCCGTCCACAGCCCATTAAGCTGGCCTGGAGATGTAGAGGGGCCGTTTGCCTAAATCCATGGGCTGCTCTAGTTATGCTGCTGCCTGGGCCTGCTGTGCCGTGGGGCACCTTCCTGCCCCACCACAGTCCCTGACCATCTGCTCAAGATGTTCCCAGAGGCAAGATGAGGTCCCAGTGGAAGTTGAAGACAAATGGATACATCTTACATACCAGTGATAGAGATATATTTGAGGGGTGGGTGGTGGTTTGGGGAGTCTTTTAATGGAGGTCACACAGAAGCATAAAGCGCTTCAGGCCGCTAAAAGCCACAATGTAACTTGTGAGTTAGGCTGACTGAACACTTAAGAGGGTTAGCTGCAACATGTCCTGAGATCATGGTGCCAATTCTGCCACTGAAGAAAGGACCTTGATCCAGAGTAGGGTCTTCAACATGAGAGCAGACAGGAGGACTGCTGGGCAGGGGCTGAGGAAGAGATCTGTGAGGTCCTTAGGCCTGGGGCCAGGTAGTTCTCCCACCAGGCTCAGCTTCCCTTTGTCAGCGCAGATGTGGATGCCAGTGATTGAGAGGAAGGATTGTCCAAGTGCTGAGGCCAGAAAGCCCCAGGCCATGTTGGTCAGCCCAGGCGGCTGGGTCAGTTCTCTAGCAGCTGGCTGCATCAGGGAAAGCAGGAAACTGAGTATCATCAAGACAAGCTGTTAGTGGAAATCTTGAAGTCAGAGCTGCAACAGCCACACATGTGAAGGAATCACCCAGCAAGGGGTTCGGGAGTGAGGCCTAGACTGCAGCGTGTGAGCTGGGAGAATGAACATGCATTTTTTTTCCTGAGGTGCCATTTGATCCTGCTAAGGGAGCTGAACCCACATTAGAGCCCTCAGGGAGAAGGGCAGAGCAGGAGTAAGATACATACATACATACATACACACACACACATACATACACACACATACATACATACATACGTACATACACACACACATACACACACATACATACATACGTACATACACACACACATACATACATACACACACACATACACACACACACATACACACACACACACA